AATTGAAGGAGGCCACATGCCATTCAGTATCATCAGTTTCAGGTAGATTATTATCAAACAGTTGCACAAATTCCATTGACACAGCTCAGCTGCTTGGCAGTAAACACTGATCATCATTTAAATCCATAGTGATTCCCTGTCTCCATCAGTCTGTGGAGAGGTGCTGCTGCTCTCCTGCTCACTGCCACGCTGACTGCAGCCTGAACTCGCTGCTGTTCCACAGTAACTGCCGTCAGATTAATTGGTGATGGTCAAACAGATGTGTCATAGTGTCTGACCTCTAAAAGCTCTTGGAGGTTGGGCATCTTTATAATTACAGTGCAGGTGGATTTATAGATGTAGTAAAAAACTGAATTAAACATGTTGGCTTCTTTTAGCATCAAAATCCCTTTTTTGTTGAATCTGTTTAAACAGGAAGCAACTATGACTGCCAGTTTTGCATAATAGTAACGTAAAGGTTGTTGCACTTGTTATTCTGACTTAATTAGAACAACCAAAAATAGCATATGAAATGTGAATCTGTCTGTTAATTACTCAGAACATTAACAGATAATTACTCATCAGTTAGCAGGTATGTCAACAGACGAGGTCAGATGTTGAGATAGAGGAAACATGTTGCAAATAAATAAAACACTGATGAACGTAGTTGTCAGAGACCAAGCAGTAAGACATAGAAGACGCAGGTGTTTAATTCAAACCTGGGGTTTTATGACCCAAAAATAGGAATAATAATTAACAAAGCCAAAACTTAAACAGGCAGACCAATGAAATAGGTCAACTAAATAAACTAAACTCAAATAACAACTAACAAAACCTCAAACAAACACAAGACAAACTGACCTGCTAAAATGACACATGAGGGAAACAAAATGGCTGCCATATAACCAACTAACACAAAACAATTGAACAAACTCCAAACACCCTCCAGGCAATGAAGGATGTGGTTTAGTCCAACGAGGTTGTCGGCAGTAGTTCAGATCCCCAAGCCCTTTGCCACACCTTTTGCCAACTGGGAAGGAGAAGCCACGCCCCAGGTAACTCAAACAAAGAAAGGTGTATAACATAAAACAGAACTTTGACTTTGCAGTGTTGATATAAACTAAACTCATAAAATCAACTAAAATAACTCCATATATGGAGTGCACACAGCAAATCTCACACATCAGCATCACAGATATCAACACGTGATGAAATAAAATGAATAAAGAAACATATTAGACAATTAGTAAAATATATTCAAAGTAGTGACTGCAAAGTAAACTAAAGTGAAGCAACTAGTGGTGAGAGCTTACCATGTGTGGCTTGCTATCAGAGTATAATTTTTAAAATATGTTTAAAAAGGTGTTGATATAAAAAAAA